CCCCGTGTTTCTTCGCTCTGGGCTGCTGCCGTGGAGGCTGGGGCCAGTGGGCTGCCTCTGGGGGAGCCTGCTTCTGAGGCTGATGGAAGCTTTACTGGGGACTTGTGGGTTATCACCTGAGCACCACCTGGGGTAGAACTGGCCACACTGGCTCACCTCCCATGACAGACAGGCCAGCCCCTCCCAGGAGGAGGCCCAGGGGTCAGCAAGTGTGCAAAGATTCTCCTGGCAAACTTGGTTTTAATGACGGTAGCGGTTTCTCGGGACTGTTTTTGTGTGTGCATGAGAAGATAAAAGAATCGGAAAATCCAGGGCTTGCATAGCAAGCTGGCTGCAAGGGCAGACGGGCCTGCACTCGGCGCTGCTGGCACCCGCTCGGCAGCGACCTCTGTGCTCCTAGAGCAGGAAGTACCCCAAGGTGGGCAGGCCACAGCCAGAGCCCAGATAGGGGGACACAGAGACCTGCCTGCACCAGACCAAGACCACATCATTAGGTGTGCTCCCCAGGGGGGCTTCTGCGGTCAGCCTGTGCTGCTCAGTGCCCGCTGCTTGGGTTTCCACGGTGTGCACCATTAATTTAAGGTTAATTAATGAGGCTCAGAAAGGTCAGGCCACTGCTAAGGTCACATGGAGAGGATGCACTCCGGGTGCCGTGTGGGCCTTGTGGGGTGAGAGCTCTGGGTCTGTGATTTGGGACTGGTTTCTGGCACCGGGCTCTCTTCCCATGGGGACACCTGGACGGACGGAGGGACTCGGGGTGGTTGTGAGGACCGTGGGTGGGTGGGGCTGGCTCCCCGGCACACCCACCCAGCATCCCCACCCTGGATGGTCGGTCCCCCACTCGCTGGGGCTATGGGCAGGGGTCCCAGGTCCAGGGGGCTTACCTGATGTCAAAACGCAGCAGCAAGGCGATGAAGATCCCTGAGAGAAGGAAGGAGCCGTGAGCGCCGGAGAGAGGGGGCGGGCCCAGTGAGGTAGGGGGCGGGCTCCAGGTAAGGGCAATGCCTGGACACGGAGCTCCTGCCCCAAGCAGCGAGATGCCCTGGTCTCCAGTGAGCAGACACCAGCCTGTCCTTTGGACTAGGAACCACACTGAAGCAGCCTCTCAGGGCTGGGCACTGAGTGCCAATGCTCAGAGTGCCTGCTGGGGAGCGAGGCACCGGGCCCAACGGGTGTGAGCATGACCTTGCCCCCCTCCTCGCTTTGCGAGGGGCCAAGGGCAGACACAGTCAGACAACAAGAATCAGCACGCAGGTATGCCTGTGTCATCACTGTCGTGGGAAGTGAGGTTCGGGGCGTGGCGGCCGGACAGGATGCAGCGCAGAGCTGGAGGGGCAGCGGCGGCTATACCGGCTGTGGAGGCACAGGGAGGCGCTGGCTCTCTATCTCCCAGTGAGAGGGCACCTCGGAGAGTTCCAACAGGGAGAACAACTTACATCGATCTCGAACAAGATTTCTGACGGCTACACAGAATACGGGCTAGAGGGTGGAAGGGGGCGGGAGACGGAGGCAGTTCGAATCCACCGTTCCACCCACCCACTCCAGGGGGCCTGCCAGTGCGTGTCTGTACGTTGTTGCTGTGCCTGCGTCCTGGGATAGTCTGGCCTCGCACTCTCTCAGCTGAAGCAGGCTCCTGAGACCTGACACAACCGTGCTCGCCAGAGGTGCCGACTGGAAACAGGGTTATTTCAGAGAGGGAGATGAGTGTGTCCTCAGGGAGGGCAGTGTGAGGTAGGCGCAGTTAATAAAGGGGCTGCTATTGAAAGGCTGGAGGCCTTGACCCGCCAGCCGCTCTGCTGCAGAAAGATGTAGGGTAGCTTGCCTTGGGAAAGACGGACCTCGCCTTGGAAACCCTGAAGGGCGGGTAGCCTGGGTGGGGATCGCCTGGAAGCCAAGTGTGAAGGTGGGGCAGATGGGTGACCAATGCTCCCTTTCTGGAGAGAGCCAGGAGTCTGGTGCCCCCCGGTGGCCAAATTATAAACTGCTCTCCAACGAGCCCAAGGGTCAGAAATCCACCCAGGGCATGCCCACTCTTCCAGCACCTGAGAGCACTCAGACAACACCCATTCTTGCTGGAAGAACATCAGCCGAGGCTGTGAGGCTCCACCCGTGCCTTCTGCTGAGCCCAGTATGTCCCGTGCTTGCCTCAAGAGGAGGACACAGGAGCATTCACCCCGCACCTGGGACAGGGACCCTGCAGACGAAGGCCTCCTTATGCATCCCCGCTCAGGGCCCTAGAGAGCCTTGGATCTAGGCTTACTTGCACCCTCTCAGGGGCTTGTTGTCAAGTGCCTTTGGATCGGTCTCCACTCACGGCGACCCTGGTCCAACAGACGGAACGCTGCCTGGTCCCGCGCCATGTCGCCGATGTTGGAGGCCAGTCGCACGCAGCCACGGAGTCAATCCAGCTCACGGGGACCGTCCTGGTTTTTTGTGGGCACCTCAGTTTTAGCCATCACGGGGTCCTTCTCCAGGGACGGGCTCCTCCTGATAAGGCAGCAGCACATGAGGGGATGAGATCTCGCCATCGTTGCTTCTAAGGCCACGCTGGCTGGCCTTGTCCCGGGAAGGGTGAGCGTGTTCTCCTGGCTGTCTGCAGTACGGCCAGTGTTCTCAGCCAGCAGCATTCCTCTTCCGCCCTCCTTCATCACCGACCAGCTTTCCCCGCACACAGGCGACGGGAACTATCCGGCTAGCGTCAGGGGACCTTGGTCCTCTGAGTATGTCTGCTCTTCAACAGTTTAAAGTGGGCTTTGGCTGCAGAGGTGCCCAGCGCGGTCCAGCGCCCGACTCTGACTGCCGCTCCACGGTGCTCACTGCGGATTGGAGACAAAGGAAATCCTCCCCTCGTACACTTTCCTGGTCTTGGTTTGCGGAGACACGGCTGACTGGTCCAGGCGGGAGGATTTCGGTGTTCCTCCTGTTGAGGTGGGATCCGTCCGGGTCTGCATCAGGAAGCGCTTCAAACTCTCTCGGCTTTCAGCAAGCAAGGGTGCGCCACCTTCGTACCACAGGCTGTGACCGAGCCGTCCTCTGGCCACTTGGGCCAGCTTGCTGGGCACGGGACTGAGGCAGCATGGACAAAGGGCACAGCCCTGCCACATACCTTCCCTGGTTTTAACCCCCTCAAGGCCTGGGGGGGGGGGGTGCTGAGTCGGAATCGACTCGATGGCAGTGAGTTTGGTCTGGGTTTGGGGCCCTGGGTCAGTGCGCCCAGCTCTTTGAACTTGTCTCTTCATCTGTCAAATGGAATTGTTTCATCCTCCCCACGCCCCACCCCCAGCTGCTACAGCCGGCACAGGTCAGCTTAAGACCACCTTCGGCACACACTGGGTGCCCGGCAATAGCCCCCCAGAGTTCCGGCTGGGAAAGCCGCTCTCGCAGCCCCGTTTCACGGGGATCCGGTCAGATCCTGTTGCGCGCTTGTGCGGAATTAATGGAGGCTCCTTCACTCCCGAGTTTGTTTCCTTGTGAGCAATCAGGGGACGCTCTCCCTTCTCTCTCTTGATTAAGTCACCCGAATGGACGTGCCACCCACAGAAGGGCTGGCCCGAGCCCAGCAGGGGCAGAGTGCTGACTGCCCGCACTGGCATGGCGCTGCATGGCGCCTGCTTTCAGGTAAGCACTGGGGGCCCTTCTGACACCCTGATTCTCAGGCCCGGGGTCTAGGGGGACCCGCTTTAATTGCTCTCGGTCCATCCCGAGTCTCTCGACTGCTGGGATCCGCTGGCACGGCAAGGCCGTGGGCTCCCAGGGGTGAGCGCTTCGGCTCCGGGCTGCAGCTACAAGTCTGCTGACAAGTGAGCCACTCGCAGGCTATACAGGCACACATGCACGCATGCACACTCTCGCAGGCACACAGGGGCCTCTGTCCTGGACACGGACACAGGCGTGTGGTCCACACACTGGGAAGGAAAGGGAGGACCGAGGGCCCTGGCAGTTCTAGCACACTGGGAATACTGTGGCAACTGGGAGAGCCTGTGGATGTGTGAGTGTGCACAGCAGGGCTCGGGGTTCTGTGTGCCGGTCATGGAGCACACGTCTGCCCACAGCCTGGCCCAGTCTGGCCTGTTGTTATGCAGTCTCCCCCAGGGGCTCTGTGGGAATGGCCTTGCTCATGGCTGTCTACCTGATACCCAGCTCGGGGCTGGCACAGGCTTAAAACCAAGCCAGACCCAATAGGCTTGAGTCCATTGTGCTGCACAGTGAGCCTACAGGGTGACGCCAACCCCCCCTTGTGGGTTCTGGAGGCTGCACATCTCTATGCGAGCACACAGCCTCATCTTTCTCCCTCAGAGCCACCAGGGGGGGTTGAACTGCTGACCTGGCACGCCACTGATATGGGCTGAGGTTGAGTCTTTCACCAATCCAGAGCTGACGCAGGGAGGGGCTTGGTAACCCCTTCCCCATGGAAAAGCCTGTCGGGTGTGGAATCCCCACCTTGGCTCCCCAACCCCGTGGTCCCTACCGGGAATGACGATGTCTCCGAGTCCCAGCATGGCAAAGTTGTCGGCCTCCAGGCCCTTCTCCAGCAGATCCTGGGGGAATACCACTGCAGGGGAGAGGGGCGGGGGTGAGGCTTCCCCTCTCACACCCCTGTATCGAGGGAGGAGGGGCTGGACAGGCCTGAGGAGGGTAACAGGCTGAGAGGCAGGGTCTCCCTCTGGAACAGCGCTGTGAAGAGGACGCTGGGATCACTCAGCAGTGGGTTTTGATGCTCTGAGAGATGACTCACCCTCCCCACTTTCCAGAGGCCCCGGGCCTTTGGGCTTCCTGGGATTGATCGGCAAACCCTTATACGAGGCCCCCCGAGAGCCCCATGCAGGGCGTGTCTCCACAGAGGGGGCTGGCCCTCACTCTGGGGCAGGGGAAGCCTGGGTCTCAGGCCCTGAAGCCAGGAAAAGGCCACACGTGGTGATGTCCGGGCTTCAAGCTCCCGACTTGGGGGGCCTCCTGGCTGGGGTAAGGGCACTGGGGAGGAAGGCCTCCCTGTGTCTGCGTCTGGGTTTCATCCCCAGCACCTGACGGGCATGGCAGTTAGGAGTCTGCGCCCTGAGATCCCAGGTGATTCTGCTCAGCTCATCCTGGCCTTCCACCCTCCCCTCAGTGACTGGCCTGGGTTTGGCGCCTGTCACCCAATTCTGGCCACTGGGAATTGAAGGGGGCTGCAGGGAGCCTTGGCGGGGTGGGGAGGGAAGATACCCCTCCCCTTTCTGTCTCTGGACGCAGCTGCGTGAGGAGTCAGCGGCTTGGAATAGTGGCAGGCAGCTTGGGACCATGAGGGGATGGGCTGGAGGGATGGACAGTGCTGCTGAGCACAGCGGTCTGGGAGCGCGAGGTGACCTTGGTTCTTGGGGTTTCCACTGAGGCCCCTAATGACCCCACCTCTGAGCTGCAGGGGGCCACGGGTCGCCCCGACTTGAGGGATATGTTTTCTAAGCGTGAGCGGCTCTGCAGTTGGGCAGGCACTACAAGGTCCCCATGCAAACACTCTGCTTGCTGGGGTTCTGAACGGGAGAAGGGCTGGTCCCCGACACCCAAGTGCTGTGGGGATCCAGGGAGGGGCATCAATCCGGTGGTCCCTGTCCGTGATTGGGTGGGGGAGGGCAGACACCCCTCTGGGTGCTCGTTCCCACTCCAGTCTCCCAACCCCACCCCTCCCTGTGACTAAGGAGCCCGAGGTCGGAGCAGGGCAGACGGAGATTGCTGTGGCCACCCTACAGGAGTCCCAAGACAGAACGTGACCAGGACGCTAAAGGAGGCGTGGGGGCTTCTGCGGAGGAAGAGGTGTGTCGAGGTTCAGGGAGGGCAGTGAGGGGCAGAGGGTCCTGCAGGGGTGGCACTTACATTTTATAGGCGCCTCAAAGGACCTGGCCACAGTCACCATCACGTTGGTGCCAAACACCTACAAGGAGGAGAGGGGCACTGAGGGGCTGGGTGGGAAACATTGGGTTCTGAGCTGAGTCCTTGAGGTGGGTGGAGCGGAAGAGGGGGCGCCCAGGGGCCCCAGGCATCTGTGAAGCTGAGTTAGGAGGCCAATGGTCCTGGACATGGGGACACCGCAGGGAATTCCCGGTTCTAGGGACCAGGAAGGGCTGTTTGAGGGAGTCTGCAAAGGGCCTCTACGGGGCTCAAGTGAGGCAGTGACCTTGTCTAGGGTTCTCTTTCTCCCTCAGCCCCCACTCGGGGGAAAGAGGCCCCATGGGGCCCGGACACGGTGCCTGAGCCACGCTGATCTTGGCCCCTCCTTCGCAGGGAGCCCCCAGCCACAGGCAGCCCTTTGCTGGGCCCGTTTATCTGAGTGCCACCACTCCTGCCCGAACGGCTCTAGCGTGGAGGCAGGGGAGGAGGCAGGCTCCTTGCGGAGCGACCGTGGACGTGGACGCAGTGGGTGGTGGCGTCCGCTCTCTGGCCCCAGGCCGGACCTCCCGCCGGAGAACACGCACCCAGAAGACATCGTAGATGAAGAGGCCGCCCAGCAGGATGCAGCCCGTGCTGACGTTGCTGAGGTGCAGCAGCTCCACCCCGTTGAGGGAGAAGGCCAGGCCAAAGAGGTTGTTGGCGATCCAGTGCTGCAGAGAGGGTGGGGGCGGGGTGAGGCCAGCTCTCGGCACCCCCCCACCCCTGCCTGCTCCAGCCCGGCAGGCCGCTCACCTTCCTGAGCAGGTACCACACGCCGACGATGCTGCTCAGGCCCAGGCACACCAAGTCCTTGGTGTCAAACTCGTAGTTGACGATCTCTGGGCAGAGAGGCCAGGTCAGTCCACTCCCCACTGTGGGGCTGACCCCTCCCCCCTTAGGCCTGGCGGAGCAGGGCATGGCTGGGGTGCTCCCAGAGGCCTGCAGGCCAAGGGTGGGGGCTGGAGTGGGGGGCAGCTTCAGGTCTGTGTGAGCTCACTGAAGTCACTCAGCCTGCTGTCTCCAGAGGACCAGGCCTCCTGGCATGGGTCAGTGGCAGTCCCCGGGGGGCAGGAGGTCGGGCTGTGGGGACAGGCAGGCCTGGTTGGGATGTGGGCTCTGCCACTTGTCACTGGGTGGCCTTGGGGGGAGGGAGGCAGCGCCTCTCGAGTTTCCATTTCTCCTGCAAAAAGGGGACAACAGCTCCCACCCCATAGGCTGCGGTGGGGAGTTAGCAGGCCGGTCTTTTCAGAGCACTCAGCTCAGGGCCTGGGGTCCAGCGGACTCCGGTCTGGGCCAGCTGTTTGCCACTAAGTCTAGGCTCCCCGGTCATTCTGGAATCTCCCTACTCTGCCATCAAAGGAGCCGGAAAAGCTGCTGGCAGCCCTGTCTCATGGACGAAGCAGAGGGAGGTGTGAGCTGCAGGCCTGACGAGGCCTGAGGCAGAGGCCATAGGGCCACCTGTCAACAAAGAGGCCCAGCCAGCTGGTGGAGGTGCCCAGGGGCACAGAGCCTGGAGTGCAGATGCCGGTGGCTGGTCCCCAGGGTCTGCTCCCACCTTCCTCAGTGGCCAAAGGCCCCCATGGGTTCTGACTGTAGGAGCTCAAGGCCCAGCCAGTCAGCTTCCCCTGCAGCTGTAGGCAGGGGCATGCAGCGCCCCCACCCCCCCTAGAGCGTGGGGCCCTGGGTGTGTCGGCTGCGGGTGGGGGGAGGAGCAGGACAACTGGACTTCGGGGCCTGAAGACGGGGGAGGCCCGGCTGCTTCAGCGAGCTGACGTGGGGCCTTCAGACTTCACCAAGCACGTCCTGGGTGCAGACGCACGAGGGGACACACTTGAGGTCACGGCACCCAGACGAGGCGTGAGGTGCCCGGAAGATGGGAGGGAAGCTCCCCCCTGGTCTCCACGGCTGTGTTTTTTTGGGGGGGTTCAAAGGCACGGATACCATTTTGTTCCAATCTTTCGTGGACAGAAACCACAGGAGAATCTCAGTATGGTCACGGGGGCCTGGTGTGCAGGGTCCTGTGCCGCCTGTTTGTCAGACTCCCACCCGCCCTCCCGGGAGGGGGGGCTATCACTCCATTGTGTAGATGGAATAGCAATGTCAATGCGGTGGAGAGATTCCCGTCTGCCTCCCTCGGCCCCTGGCAGGGGGTGGTGTGGTGTGTGTACGAGTGGTGGGGACGAGACACCACGTGTGTGTGGTGGTGGTGGGGTGTGTGTGTGTGTGAACGCGTGGTGGGGACGAGACGCCACTGACCTTCCTTGGTCTCCCCGGAGCCCTGCGTGAAGAGCAGCTGGTACTGTCGATTTGGGAAGTTGGCGGGGAAAAACTTGTTCATGAAGGGGCTGGAAGGAAAGATGAACAGGTTGGCAGAGCCGCCCAGGTCATTGCAGCCCCAACACCCCACCCGGCCCCCTCCTGGCAGCCAGCAGGTAGGGACCACTTCCTGCCTTGCAGGTCATGTGGGGAGCTGCTAACTGAGTGGAAGTCGGGGTCCCCCCCCCCCATCCCCAAAGAGGCACAGGGCAGCCGCTGCTTCCAGGAGCACAATGGCTCCAAGAGCTGCCTGCCGGCCTCTCGGGAGAGCAGAGGGCCATCCGCCTTAAGCTCTCCTACCCTCCCAGGTTTTGCCACCGGTGAACAGAATGCTGGCACTGGGGCCTGACAGACAGGCCGACCCCCGCCCTGCCTGTACCAGCTGGGAATCCAGTGCCAATAGAGCCCTGAGGGACAAGGTCCCGGCTTTGGACGTTGGATCTTGGTGCCTCATTCGCTGTCTGTCAAGATGCACAGTACTGGGGCTCCTTTCCAGACCCCAAGGCCAATGGCCTGGTGACCATGCCCACCCAAGACTGAACACTCAGAGGCCCGGAAACAAGCCGGACACCCTGTGTTTCCCCGGGACCAGCATGGCCTTCTCGGCTATGGGATATGCTTTCTGATTACCCAGCATGGTCCAGGGGGGAGGGGCTCTTCTGGGCCCTTTTTCTGGGCGAGAGGAGCAGTAAGGGTGGCCGTGTTGTACAGTGGCCACGGATTTGGGTGTCACATCCCCAAACCTGGCTCTGGTCACACACCACTTCCCCTCCCTGAACCTCAGGTTCCTCTCCCGTAGGTGGGAGAAAAAGACCGGCTGCCTCAAAGGGGAGTCCTGTTCAGACAGGGAGGCTAAGATGCCAGGCCCAGCATGGGGCCCACAGCAGGTGGGCGGGGCCTGTGAGCTTCCCTTAACAAGACCCTCTTGCTCACAGCCAGGGCCAGGCAGCCTGTTAGCACCTCCGACTCACTGGGCGGGTCAGCGGAGGCAGGCCAGGCCCCGCCCCAGCCCAGGCCCTGCCGTGAGGGAGGGAGGACGGTCTCTTCCTAAGAAGCTGGACTAGGAGAAAAGAAGGTGTGCATGCTGGAAGCCTCTCTGGCCCTCGGCTTCCCCACTGCAGGGCGGGGTGTGTGTGTGTGCAGAAAGCGGGGGATGGTGGGGTGTTTCTAAACCACGACAGGGAGGAGGCACACTGAGGGACCTGGTCGCAGCTCCCGGGGGGCAGAGGATGGGCTGGATGCAGTGACTCTGTTTCCAGCTAAGTTTGTCAGGCCGCTTGGGGGGTTCCTGGAGCCCAGGACTGTGAGCTGGGATGGGGGTGGGGGTGGGGTGGCAGGGAGCCCTGAGGAGTGAGCCTGGCCTCGTCCTGAGAAGCTGGCCACTCAGCTTTCCTAGCCAGCAGAGTCCAGAGGTCAAGAGCATGGGCTCTGGAATCAGACGTCCTGGGTTCAAATCCCAGCTCTGCCACATACTGCCTGTGTGACCTTGGAAAACTGGTTACTTAACCTCTTCTGCAGCGGCGCCTTCCCCACAGTGCTGCGGGCGGCTCACACGTGGAAAGCTAGAGAAGGCCTGTGGAGCTGCAGCTTTGCCCTCGGTCAGAAGCGCCGAGTCTGCAGTCTGTCAGCCCCCGTGGGAGAAGAGGGGCTGCTGGGTAACACGGGGATGGTCAAGCGACCCCACCTCTACGCCTGTGAGCTTGCCAGCGAGGCCCGGAAAACCTCTATGGGCTTGTGCCACGCTGGGTGCCAGGGAGCCTCTGGTGAACGCTTGCGCAATGGCTCCCAGTGTAGCCTTAGGTAGCAGAAGTCTCTGGCCCTTAAGTCACCCGTAAAGGTCACTGCTTCCCACCACATCCTGGTGCCCTACTCCCCTGGGTGCGTGAGGCAAGGGGTGAGGGTGGGAGGAAGTGCTGACGTGGCTTCCTCCTGGGGTGGCCGATTCTGGCATCTTGGGTCTTTTCCTGAGAAAGGTCAGCTGGGTGGAGGGTGAGCGCAGTCGGCTGAGGCTCCCTTGGCAGGGAGCCAAGCAGGGTTTTCTTGGCCTGGGCTGGACGGAGCCTCAGCAAGCGAAGGAGGTGGCAGCAGCCGCCTTCCCCTAACACCCGGCCCTGGGCTGTGGCGGGCAGGTGGGGGGATCAGGAGTACCTCGGCGGGCTGGCACGGCTCCATGCTCAGCAGGCCTCTGCTCTGCAGGTGCCCTGGAGGGTGGCTGGCCTGCCTTTCATGAGCCCTCTTGCCCAAACAGGAACAGAACACTGGCCTTGGAGCTGGAACGGACGGACAGAACCTTGCTTTGTCTTACAAGCACAGCCTAACAAACACCTCCAAACCTAACTAACCCGCTCCCAACAAGTGGGCCGCACCTTACAGCGAGCCTATGGGACAGATGGACTGCCTCAGGCGTGGCCAAGGCCGTCAAGGTTCTCAGAAGATGAGTGCTTAACCACTGGGACACCGAGACCCCTCCTTCTGCCCTTAACCAGAAACCGCAAACTCCCCGCCATCAAGCCCCTTCCGGCTCACAGAACTGACCCAGGGGATTTCCAAGGCAGGAACTCTTTCCTGGAGTAGAAAGCCTCCTCTTCCTCCCTCGGAGCAGCTGGTGGTTTCGAACTGCTGACCTTGCAGCGAGCAGCCCAAGGCGTAACCACCACGCCACCAGGGCTCCTCCACGCTGCCCTCACAGCTGGGAACCTGGGGGTGCGCAGAGCCCCCAACCACGCTGCTGCCCTGTGCCCAACCTTGGACGGGGTGGCCTGCCTCTCGAGAAAGGTCTGACCCTGTGGGCGGGTGCAAAGCCACTGCCAGCGCGTCAACGTCGACTCACAGCCACCCTGCAGGTGGGTGTCCCCGAGACACTCTTTACGGAGGAAGCAGGTTTCACCTTCCTCCCACAGAGTGGTTGGGGTTTCAAAGTGCTGGCCTGCGGTTCGCGGTCCCGCTCGTCACCCACTCCCTCCTCCCACTGCCAGGGCTCCGTGGAAACCAGCTGTTCTCCTAAGTTCCACCAGCACGGCGGGGCTTCCATGGACCGCGTACTTCGGGGAAGGCACAGCTTAAGGCTGGCGTCACACTTTCTGAACAGCGTGAACGCATGATGGCACCTCCTTGGGAAGCTAGGAGCCCTGGTAGCACCGTGGTCCCGAGCTGCGCTGCCAACCAGAACGTCCACAGTTCGAAGCTACCGCGGTTCTGCAGGAGGCGGGTTGAGGTGCTTTCCCCCCAGAGGGTCGGTATGAGTCAGAACTGACTCGGTGGCAGTAAGTTTGTTTTTTAAGCCGAAATGATCTCCATAGGAGATAATTCCCACATCCGTCTTACCATAAGGGCTCCAGTCGGCCCCCGGCCTGTGCTTGCTTTCCGCAGAGGGCAACTGTGAGCACCAGAGCAGCCCTCTGCCCACCGCCAGCCACCAGCTGACGAGCCTGAGGGTTTTTGGCTTTTTGTAAAATTGTCCCCTTGTCCCTTTAAAAGCCAGCCCTCGACTCCGGGTGCGAGGCCCCGTGCATCCTGCCAGAGTCCCAGGAGAGCTGAGTGCAGGGGGCCAGGGCAATCCCAGGCCCGGTTTCCCCAGGCTCCGTGGTCTGCTCAACATTTTACCCAGAAAATAGTGCTTCCTGTTAATTTGTTTACAGTCACAAACAACATTTTTCCACATGCTATTGGTTTTATGTTTTGGTGCCAATTCCTAGGAGTACAAACTTTGACTGGGCTGAAAGGCACACAGCAGTTTTTTGGCGAATCCCTGAGGCAGTTGGGACCAAGTCCCTTAACTATTATTCTAAAAGGAAACGAAAGACGAGCGTTCTTGGCATTGGCGCGGCAGAGGCCCATGGCGGTCTTTGGGGCTCCAGTGGAGAGCAGG